ACCAACCAGACAAGAATGAATTCTAATAATTTCTATTGATTGCTCTTATCAAATTTAGCAAGTGTCATGCTATGTCACAAGTCCAATAACCCAGTAGGGTCATTGGTGTACCATATGTACTATGAATAACAGTAGAGTGTCTGGAACAAGTTAGCCTGACAAAGCCAAATCCTCAGGCTGATTTTGAATTCAGAGATTTCCTTGTATTAGACTTGTTACCCCCTTAAGGCAAAGAAAGCCCAGCCAGCTCTGCTATTTAATTCATAGCTGAGAGAAGAGGCGAATTCATACCTTTCCAAGAGTATTTGTACAAAAGTGAACATAAACTTAGACAAGTGTATAAATCTTTAATAGACAATGGTGTGCCTAAATGAAATATTATAATACCACCACCAATATAAAGATTCACTTGGGCTGGTAAAATTATCTTACTCTACATCCCATCATTGTTCCAAGGGGAAAATAGATCAGTTTAAACATACTTAAGGGGTTTGCCAATAACATTTCTCATACCTGTATGAGAAATGAAGGTTTTATTTTCACTCCCCAGTATTTCCTGTAGCATTTCTACAAGATCATATAGTTAAACTTTCTTAAAGATGGATGCACATATACTCAAATATGTTCTTCTAGTCTGTTCCTAGTACAACTATACATATCCAAAAAAATTAAATCTAATAGCTTTGTGAAAGGTTATATATCTTCTACATGCAAATACCAAAACAATACATTTGCAAGTAGGATGGCTCTAGACATCTAACAATGTAGAATTCATAAAGCCTGAATGTTGGTGATGGAAATTTTGTTTGTTATTCACTCTTCTATATTGTGACACTTTCAGATAGTGCAGGATTACAAGCAACATGGCTGACAAGACTGTTCTGTACTTTGCTGCTTTCTCATGTGCAGTCAATGAACTTAGTTCTGAAAGTTACTGAAAGGCTACAGATTACTGTCATTTTTATGGACACTTCATTTATTATATGCCTTTCAATTTGGCACAACACGTTCATCTTGATTGTTATAACTTGCATTTTGGTTGTTGTACTCTCTGGCCTGTTGTTTTTGAATTGAATCCTTTATTAAGAGTAGATTATTATCATTCCACTTTACAGTGGATATCTCATATTGTTCCAAGGTGGCTGATAACCTAAAGTTATGAGTGAGCAGAGTTCCCATTTAGACTTCATTGTGAGTGGCAAATGTAAAATTAAACATAGAAAAGCATGTCCTTTGGTATAAAACTAGGGGAAAATGTGAAAAAAAAAACTTGATTGCATTTAATGATTATTGAACTAATTAACAAAATTAGTTTCAAGAAATTAGATGGGTTGAAAGGTTATTCAGGAATCTAATCTAGATATTAACTTGGAGATAATTTAGTATAACTGGATCTGGCCCTGTACCCACCTGGTATTTGCCAAGTAATAATTACTGCTTCAGCAAAAATCAGGAATTATCTCTAAGAGCCCTAGAAATTGAATTGTTTTCATTAAAACTTAGTCATTGCATTCAAGTAATTTCTTAGAATTTTGGAGAAAGATGACATCCCCCCCCACACCCGCCTCACATCATGACTAAATTTTCCTTGTTTATCATTTTAAAATACTCTCTTGTATTTTCAGTTTAGTTTATGATAAACAAAAAGTATAACAAATATTTGTTAATGGATCATTCAGTTCTTGGTTTTTTAACAAAAATTGATAGAAAAAATATAATTTTCTTTGTTTATTAAAGCAAGATTAATTCTTGCAATTAGATCCAAACATTTCTCACATTAATATATATATATATATATATATAGATATAGATAGATAGATTGATAGATAGATAGATAATACAAATATCTAAACTTAAATTAAAGTGCTTAAATTTTGTACAGTTATTAAAAATCTGCCACAATTAGTGAGAAGTAAGATTTTTTTATGCTAAAAAATTAATTGCTTTTAGAGTAAATATAGTAGAGTTTTGTATTTTCCTGACATCATCTCAAAAAATCTAACCAGTCATCCCAAACTAATGTTCTGTTATCCTCAGGATGTTCAGACAATGTTAATCTTGAGCCCTTATGTGACACTTTTATAAGTAGTCTAATATTCAATACTGTCGATCAGTCGCTCCTTGAAAACAAAACACTTGATGTAGCAATTGCTTTGATGAAGGAGGAACTCTGGAACAGAGTCAAAAGAATTTAGAGTCGTATTGTGCATGAGAGAAAAACTTTAGTGCAGCAACAGCAGCTCCTTCCATTGATAATACATACACATGTACTCAGTGATAAATCATTTGTAAACCAAACTATGGTTGCTGTCTTTAAGAGACAGACATGTTACTCCTACGGGAATAAGCACTTTCATTGGAACTGTCCAACATACTAAACTAAATGCAATAAATGTGACAAAAGGGAGAATTTTGCAAAGCTGTGTTGTCCAGTAATATCTTGAATCTTAGAAATTGTAACTATTGCTACTACTACTAAATGGGAAGAGGGTTAGAGCACTTGTGGACATGGGTAGTACTGACAGCTTGTTCAGACACTATATTTGGACAGGTATCCAGATTCTAATACTATATCTAGAACAACAGCTTCATTGGGTTCAAAGACATCTGGGTCTTGTTTGGTGAATACAGAGCAGAGAGGATGTCAATATCAGAATATGAGGTTATCTGTACTGTTTGATTTTATGCTGATCTCATCCTTAAGACAGGATTTATGAAGCAACATCAGAGTATCTGTATAAATTTCAGTGGAGACAAACATCCATTAAATAATTCTCCTCCTTGTCATTTTTTTTTCTAATTTCCCCAATGAGTGTAGTTCAGTAGCTACTAAGTCAAGAAAATATAGTTCTCCAGAGAAACATTTTATTGCAACTAAAGTTAAGAGGCTACTTGCAGAAGTGATAATTGAGCTAAGCACTTCCCCTAGGTGAGCTCAAACTGTAATGATCTCCAATGAGCAACAAAAAAAATTGTAGTTGATTACCCTCACACTGAACAATTTCACACTACCAAGGATCGACAAAATTGCAAACACTGTAGCACAATATGGATTCTTTGATACAATTGACTTGTAATCTGCCTAGCGTAAAGACCCAATACTTAATGAAGATGAGCTTTACATGGCTTGATGCCTATGAATAGCTATGCCAATTCTGACAGATTCCATTTGGCGTAACGAATAAAGTTGTCTACTTTCGGTGCATTACATACAAATTCATCATAGACAGCATTTGTTTAGATACATAACTGTGAGGAAAAATAAAGAAGAAAATGACATTAACTTCATGGGATTTACTGAGGCTGTTGAGAAGCTTAACTTGACCTACAATTCTAAGTTCACATTCTCTGTAACTTCCACAGACTTTATTGGTTATACCATTTCTGAGGGTAAAATTAAACTTGATCCTCAAAGACATGACCACATAAAGAACGTTCTTTTCTTTATTGGTTGGTTGATTTTGTTTAGTGGCATATCTATCTCTATAGGTTATTTAATGCCAAAATCTAAATATTTTGACCAAAACTTTATGAGTTCAACTAAATGTATTTTGAACACAATTGTATGCCTTCAACTACAGATTCAACTACAGTATTGTTGGTCATTTTGCTATAAAATGGTGTTAATTTTACTATAAATAGTTATTGTTGGTAATTTTTTATAGGTAAAAATGCACTATTGGCATTTTTACTATACAAATGTATTTTTATACTTTCATAGAGTTTTTTTTTCATTTGGGGGTTCACTATTTACCCATAGCTGGGACCTTAATAGAAGCTACCACCCCAGGCCATGCAATTAAGAGGGGGGTCCCCTGCTCTTCAAAACCTCCAAAAGAAAATCATACTATGCTGCATTCTAATGATGAAACAATTGCTGTAAAGACAGATGTATCTGATCAAACTATTACTGCAACCTTAAATCAATCTGAAAGAACAATGGCTTCCTATTCAAGGACATTAAATGCTAGTAAACAAAAACACTTAGTAATAGAAAAGGAGGCCTATTATCGAGGCCCTGTGCAAATGGACACACTGCTAAACTGAAAGCCACTTAACCCTTCTTACTGATCAAAAAAAAAAAAAAATCAGGTGTTCAAGCTTCATTCCAAATAGTCTTGTAAAATTAAGAATGATTTAAAATTAGAGACAGGACTGCTTACTACAATTTTGTCCGAGAAAGAATAATATTATTGCAGATGCTTTGCTTAATGTGTTTTGTTCTGCTGTAGATTCTGATTCTAAATTGTACAATACACTTTGTCACCCAGGTATTACATGAATTTCTTAGAACAAAGAATCTACCATGTTCTGTGGAGGATATAAAAACAGTTTGTGTTGAGTGAAAACCAGTTTCATAAACCTGGTGTATCACTTCTGTTCAAAGCAATTGTGCCATTTGAGAAACTCTGTACTGAGTTTAAAAGCCCTTTGCCATCACAGAATTCATCTATTATACACATTTTTTTTTCACTTTTGCTTGTCCAGATATGTCTGAAGCAGTGTTCATGTGATCTTTGACATGCCTGCATTTATACGGAACTATTTAATTCATGTCATTGGATGTGAGGAACTTTTTGTATATCTATGTATTTTCACTAGCTGGAACACCCCTTATAATCCTGAAGGCAATAGGCAATATGAATGATATAATGGAATTATATAGAAGGTTGTAGTGATCCTCACACTCAAATCACAATGCTTGCCAATGATGTGATAGATTTGATCAATTCATGTCCTACGGCTTATCAACTCTTTGCAGGTTAGAAAATATTTTTTAGATGATTATAAGAATTTTTTTTTTTTTTGGGGGGGTTATAATAATGGCTTAATGATGCAAGTCTTACTAATTAACCTATAGCTGGAGGGAGAAGAGGATTCATAGTTTTCTTTTGTGTATTTGCATTTAAGTGAATGTAACAAACCTAATGGGAATTGGAACTTGGCTCTTCAATTAACAATTCCGAGCCATTATCCATTATACCACCTGCACATTCAAGCTTACAGCACCTGATATTCCCAAGTGGTCACCTATCTAAGTACTGACCAGGCTTGACATTGCTTAATTTTGGTGGTCGTACAGGAACCAATGTTTTAATGTGATGTGACTGTAAGCCTTTGACCCTATGAAAGCTGTTTGAATCTATTGTTCCTGTGGGTAAGTCATTAATTCCTGTCACAAGGGATACTTGTCCTGATAATGAAGGTCCATTATGTCTGACCATGCAATCTAGCCACCTAACCGGCTAAACTTAGGATTTTCATGAGGTATTGCTGTACTTGGTTTATTATTTTAGTGAAGATGAAGTCTGTTTTTTTTCTTCTTCATTTCATGTTGATAATTTTATATTTTTATTTAATGGAAGAAAGTGTGAAAATTTTGTCAAATATTTACTATGCAGTCTTCTGTATTGAAATAATACTTCCATTTATTCATCATGGGATTACTAACATCATACCTGATAAAAATTTTTGTCTACAGCTTTCTTAGGTGAAATTTGTGGGCTTTTTGAAAGGCAACAGATTGTTTTCATGTGTACTGCTAAATTCTTTTTTGGATTAAACCTAACAGATAAACATGGATTCTACAACAATTGTGATATTCAATATTTTATATTTACCTTTGAGATATGAGTGTCCATTAACATTGTGAAAATTTGGTTACATTTTTGAATGTTAACACATTTTCTTCTATTCCCCTTTATATAGATGATGACCTTTGATTCTAATAGCATATCATTTCCTTTTATATAAGGATTCCATTTCTTTTTTTACACATGCATACACACACACACAGAGGACCGTTAACAGTAAATCTCAAGATTCATTAACATATTTTCAGTATCAGTTCTTCTCATTTAAACCCTTATAAAAGTCATTTGCTTTCAAAATGAACCTGTGTTAGGTAAGTGTTTACATCCATCTGAAGCATTAATGATCATCTACTTGATGAAAGTGAGTGATGGTGACATGAATACATTAAAAGAAGAAAAGGAAAAAAGAATAAAAGGAAAAGAAGGAAAAAAGAGGAAAAAAGAGGAAAAGAGAAGAAGGAAAAAGAGGAAAAGAGAAGAAGGAAAAAAGAGGAAAAGAGAAGAAGGAAAAAAGAGGAAAAGAGAAGAAGGAAAAAAGAGAAGAAGGCAAAAAGGAGGAGGAGGAAAAAGAGGGAGGAAAAAAGAAGGAAAAGAGAAGAAGAAAGAAGAAGGAAAAGAGAAGAAATAAAAGAGAAGAAGGAAAAAAGGAGGAGGAGGAAAAAGAGGGAGGAAAAAAAGAAGACAAGGAAAAATGAAAAAAAAAAAAGTAATTGTTGTAACTCCTCTATACAAATTGCTAGAGTATAATCCCCACTCATACCCTCTCAATGCAGTGACAACAGTTTGTCAGGTGAAAGCTAAGATCTGGAACACTACCAGAAATGATAACGTTTCACCATTGGGTAGAAATTAAAGTTAGAGACAAAATATGTTATAACAGTAAATCATACAAGTATGCAGTTAGAATCAAGAGATAGAAGAAAGAAAAAAAATTCTCTTAAGCTTAAAAATTTACCAACTGTGCAAATGTGGAATTTGACAAGACAGGTATCAAAGTTAGACACAGAAGCTAAAGCATTATTTATTGAGAGAAAAAGCAAAAGTAGTCAAGATTAAGCAATGTAACATTTTTATACAGTAAATATGATGATCAGTAAGAGAGACAGCCCAAGATGTGAGGTAGAAATTAGTGATATCAAAATCAAGCTGGTACAGAAATTTAACTGAGTAGTGGACTCACAGTGATGGGAAATGGAATACAGAAATCCAAAGGTACACTTGAGTAATGAAAGTACCTCTCTAGAAACCAAATAAAGTATTAAGAGATATGAAAATTTAATTAGAAACAAAGAAAAATAATGCTGAACTGTGATACCATATTTATCCTCCTACAAAGCAGTGAATGCTGGATAATTTCTTTTCTTTACAGATTCAGAAGAGACTTGAAGTAACATATTCTAAATATGGATGCTAAGAATAACATGTAGGGGACATGTGAGCAACAAGGAAGTTTTAAGGAAAATAGAAACGAAAAGACATTAACAATTCAAAGACAGTTGAAATTTCTGTGAACACACAAAGAGAAATGAGGGTTTTGAAAATTTAACACTCAGAGGATATATAAGGGAAAGAGGGAAATAGTAACCTACCTAATGAGTTTTCTTGAACATACAGTAGAGTAGAGACAAAGAGGTATGGTAAAAAGATAAATGCAGCTTAGAGCTACAAAAAAAAGAGGTAGTTCTGGAGAGCCATGATCACTCATACCGTGAATGGATTCTGTACATAAAAGATATTTTCTAGTACACCAACACATGATTCCTATAGCTAGAAATCATATCACTTTTAATGTCTAAAGATAGTTTTTGAACGAGAAAAGAAGAGAAAATGAACATTACATCAAAATATTCAAGTAAAGGGAGATAAAAATAAAAATATTATTAACCCTTTAATTAGTCATACCAAGTACAGGTATTTTTTTTCCAATATTTCATTCTTTTTAGACAATCAGAAGTTAACTTTTATAGAAATTAACTTATTTTAGATTAACTGAATCAAAAATATTTGGGTATCCTGTTAGACTTTAGAGCAAAAACAAGTGAACTGATCCAGCAGAAGCAAGATTGTTTTCAATGTGCATAAAATCTTCAGATGATTGACAAACAGGAATTTATTTTCCAATTTAATTTAGCACAAGGTGACCAGCGTGGAGGCAATGTAGTGAGGATTGAACTCACTGCACAGTAGTAATAATCAGCCACACCAGCTCATCAATTATTACCACACTGCAATATTTTCTGCTTATTTTTATTCTTTATGCCTGAAATTTGATGGACAAATGTGTGTATGCATAAAATGCACACACAAAGTAAATTCAATGAATGTTATTGATAGAAATAATAGACACTCTTTACAGAATGCTCAATATCAATAATTTGATAGCCCAATGGTAAAACCAGATAAAAACCACAAATAATGACTACAATTAACATCAAGAAAGTTCATGCTCAGAAGTAATCATCAGACTATGGAAACTGTAACAATGTTAACATAAAAGAAAAAAATATATGTATCATTCAATGAACAAATAAAAATGGTGTCAACTGAATAAATGATCATAACAGTAATTTCTTTTCTAAAATAAACAGAAATAATCTATACTTGTTCATAATTTTCATTATCATCCTTGTATTTTCCTTTTACGAATCATAAATGATAAATTTTAAAAAGCGAAAACATTTTTAAAATGTAATTATGTGTATTTCTTACCCATTTCTAGATTTGTTGAACAACTCAACAATATATAAACATAATTCTTTTGTTCACTCTTTTTTAGAATTAAATTTAAGTAAACATGCAAACAGAATACACATTTAATAGTTGATAGGTACACCTATCACCTGGCTCACACTCCTCCCTGGCTTTTGAACAGGAGTAAAGGTTGATCCTTTGTTCCCTATTTATGATTGGGTTTTCAGTTCCTTCTAAAGACTTTTCATTCTCTTTCAATCATAGTAACCCCTTGCATCTTAGTGGCATTATTGCCTTGTGTAGTGGTGAATTGGTTAAAAGAAATTAAAAAAAAAAAAATAAATAAATAAATAATGACTTCAGAGTGTGCAGGTGGTTATCAACATAGAAAAAGGAAATTGGCTGGCAAAGTTCAGATTCTGGCCAAAGGTGTTGCATTCCTTTTATGCCAATGTCCTTGGGAAAGGCATGAACCACTATCTTCTCCGCCTTTGGTTATCAGTATAATAGTAGAATATGCTAGCCTCTCTAGCTTGGTTGGTCAACTCTTATGGGAAAAAGAACTAAATTTAGAAATCAAAAACACATCAAGAAATCACTCCACTGTTTCCCAAGAATAGTCATGGTAATTCCCATTTAGAGATACTAAAGAAAAGGAAGTTATAGAGAGCCATGATTGCCTACATTATGAAGGGATACAATTATATAAGTGATTTTAGAGAACACCAACTATTCTGAAAGAGAAGCAATACGATCTTTCTCTATATAAGCAGCAACATGACAACAATACAAAATATAATTTTAAAAAATTACACTTACAATTCTGTTCTTATAGAAAATCTTTAGATTATAAACTAGAGGTTTGTGTTTGACAGTGTCTGCTAAGATCAATCAATGGTCATAAGATCAAGTAAAAATGCCACAGTTAAATATGAAAATAGAAACTGGAGAGACCATCGAATTCTTTAAGAATGAACCTTTGCAGTTCTTTTTAGTCATACTAAGAAGGTAAAACATTAAGACATTTTCATACTAATGAGATAACTGATTTTCTTCAAATAATGCATTTTACAAAAATACTTAAATCAACACACAATGGCATTTTAATTATCAGCCAAAATACAATAAGAACAAATAAACAATAGATATTTTTTACCAAGTTATCTAATCAATCCAATTTCACTGTCATATTTTATTATTCAAGTCAATTTTTTCACAATAAAGTTTCTATTAACCAACTGATGCTGGTAAAATTTTCAGGAATACTTATCTTTATATGATAAATATACAAAGTGAATTTTAGCTTATACAGAGTTTTTATTAGAAATATTTACAATGAAACTTGAGGGTTGTTCATAAAACTAATAGAGAATATCTTAAACCTTTTAGTGAATTTATTCTTGTGTGGAAGAAGTCATTTAATGTTAGGTGGAAACTTATAAAGGAGCTTGCTAAAATTGTGTTATGTTCAAAGTACTTTCGACTATCATTGGTTCTTTTCAAGAAAGTAGAAAGTCAAGAAATAACCAGTACAGAGTTTGCGTTGTTGATAGTTTATTGATTTTTATTTTAAATTTCAGTTGTATAAAGATTGCTATGAGCCACGAGAAAGATATTATCTCAAAAAGAAACAAGATACTGTAATGTTGAGTGATTGGAACACAACGTTAGTAATGGTGAAAAAGAATTGAACAGAGATCATAGAATAATCAGAAAATAAATTGAAAATATGGGGGGGGGAGATGGCCTTAAGAATGTCACTGAAAAATTCGAGCAAAATTAAAAAAGTAATAATAATAAAAATGGATTGACTTGCAAGAAAATATTTGAAGAAATTCATGTGGCAAATGTAAACAGAGAGGAATGATTCAGAACAACATTAGCTAAAGACATGAAAATAAATTAACTCTTTTTAAGTGAATATCTCAAAGACATTTATAATGTTGGGGGAAGATTTACATGAAAAGCAATGTCTCAACAGTGATTTTACTGATGATTGTGGCACTATATTGGATGTCGATGACTGATGGTTGACTCCAGACAGAATGATTCAACCAACATAGATTTGAAGGCAGCAGCATGGGGATGTAGAGGAAGGTTTCAGTTAGTATTTTAGGTAGTAAAATACTAAGTTCTTTCAAAATTGATGACAATACCAAGATAAATGCAGAGAATTACTGTTAATTTTTGAACAAGGCATATGAGTGGTAGAATTGAAAACTAAGAAGCTTTAAGCTAAAGAGTATATTCATGAAAGCCGATGCCCCTTCACAGCACAAAAAATTAACTTAGAAACTAAAAATTAACTAAGAAAAGATTTCAAAGGCACCAAATTAATGGTATAGACCCAAGCTTCTCCAGTTATTAATCCAATAGAAAACTTATAGTCCTTCATTAAAAGAGATGTATATGAAAATGAGAAACAATATTAAAGATCTGAGAAGCAATAAAATCTGCTGCAAATAATGTTCAAGTGGAAATAGAAAAGTTAAAATCAATGAAATAATGATCAAGGTTATAAAATGTCTAGGTACCCATACTAATGTAAATTAATTTTTTTTTTTCAAGTAAATGGGATATTGCATTATCCCATTTACTTGAAAAAAAAAAATTAATTTACATTAGTTTGCATTAATTAAATATGTTTCTGTAGCTTATATATTTCAGATTTATCTATAAATAAAAGTTTATGTTTCATTCTGTGTAATAAAACAAGGCACCCTAAAACAAATTATCAATATTTTTAACAAGGACAAATATTATAATGTGAAACTTACACACATATATATATATGTATGTCATGAAAATTGCACCAACATTGGTTGGTTAATACCAATTTTATTATGAAAAAATTGATTTACATAATAAATTCTAACAGTTGTAGATAGAAAATTATTTGATTGAGTCGTTTTCTAACCTTTCGCAGATTATTTAAAACCAAAAAATATTTTTAGATTGTAAGAATTTTTATTTTTAGTGATACAAATCTTACTAATTAACCCATAGCTAGAGGAGAAGAAGTGGATTCATACCTTTCCCAATTTACTCACATAAATGAATTTAATGAACCCAATGGAAACGGGAACTTGGCTCTCCAATTAACAATTCTGAGCCATTATCCATTACATCACCCGCATATCAAGCTTACAGCATCTGGTATTCCCAAGTGGGCACCCATTTAGGTACTGACCAGGCTTGATGTTTCTTAACTTTGGTGATCATACAGGAACCAGTGTTTCAACATGATGTGGGCGTAAGCCTAGATAGAAAATTAAAGCTTTTAGTTGGCTAGCAATTTCATTATAGATTCATATAACCTAAGAAAATCTTAACTTACTTACAAGGTCTTTCCTTTTCACTTTAGAACTAAAAGAAATACCAAATTTCATATTAACTCATGTAAGAGAAGGAAATATAAAATCTTACCTGAATAAAGAGGACTATTTGCAGACAACTCTTAAGTGGCAAATATTGTAGCATGAAGCAGTGTCTAACATATCCTGTCATATAGTTTATGATCTTAATGTGCTAAACACACTGCATTAGCAGAAATAATTGCCATAAAATAAAGAAAACTTTATAAGTTTTCTTTTCTTCCCAAACTGTTGCATTTATAAAGCCCTTGTTATCTCTCAGTTTACCAGAAATAGCAAAGAAAAAAATAATCTTAAATGGATTTTTTTAAAAGAGTAAAAAATAACCTTTTTGCTGGTTATGGCAAAACTTCAGTATTTGTAATTTTACATATACTATAATAAAGAAACGTTCTATTTAATTTTATCTTTTTTTTCTTAAATAAAAATGAAAGTAAAAATTCAAATTCTAAATAGAATAAGCAACAATTTGTGTGATACTCTTTGTATTGTGATTGGCACTTAAACCTGTCAATATTTTTGGTCAAATATAATTACCAAGAGTCACTTGAAAATAAGAAAAGTCTTGATTAAAAAGACAAGTGGAACTGTCTACAATAGCACACAGAAAGGAAATGACCAAATCAAGAGGCTGATGACCAGATAATGGACACCTGATAGCCACCACTTACAGACATGATCTATTTTTGTTACCATTTTTTTCCTCTTATACAACAGGTTTGTTGTTTGTTGGTTGATTTAAAGGATGCACAAAAGTAGCATCCCAGATTAAATAATGTAGCTTGATCAAAATAGAAACTAGTCAGACAGGTTTAAAAAAAAAAAAAAAGAAAAAAATGTTTAAAATGGCTGAAGTCACTAGAGTAGAGAGAAAGAAAGAAAAGGAAAAGATAATTATGCCATAAAAGAAAATAAATAAAAATGAGGTAAAACAATAAAAGGATGATGACAATTTTTGACAGGTAAGCAATGAAGTAATCATCTTATGATATAGCAACACTCATACCAGTGCACAGTGTCTGAACTTTAGATGGAGATACATACTACAATAGAGTATCAGTCTGGTAAAAGAGTCCATAGCAAACAAGTATCAAGCCACAGAGAAACACAAGATCCTTTTGTTTAATTGGTGTCATTTGAGAGAAGTCGGAATAATCAACATTATACAATATGGGAGATAGCCAACATGCACAAAATAACACTTGTACCAGCTTGGCTTTGTTAGTTACTTTGATGATAGAGATTTCTCACTGCAAAACACTCCACAATCATGTAGACAAATTGATGTTGACAGTGGTTAAATCAAAATTGTACTTGAGAATAATCAATATTATACAATATGGGAGATAACCCATATACACAAAAAATCACTTGTACCAATTTGGTCTTGTCAGTCACTTTGATGCCTGTAGATTCCTTAGTAAGTGTAAAAAAAATATTTTTTTTTTAAAAATCTATCTATGGTAGAAAATTAAAAGTGGATGTTTTTATATGTGGGATGCAAGAGATTATGAGACAAGTGAAATGAACCATAACTATATGCATCAAAAGGCCAGTCTTCATCCAAATAAGTTGATGCTGAGTTTTTGTGGGATTGGCAGGCAGTCCCATCAAATAAGCTCCTTACAAAAAGTTAAACTATTGACTTTAACATGTACTCCTTCCAGAAGGCTGTAACCAAGAAAAAGTTTTATTCAGAACAATTTACCAGAAATAGTGCAATACTGCATCAAAATGATGAAATATTGCATGTTTCTTTGATAACCAGTTAAATATTGTTATAGTTGGCTGGAAGTTCTCATTCACCAACCATATTCACCAGATATTACACATTTAAACTACCATTTATTTTGGTAATTACAGAAATTTCTCTAATGATAAAGATTTTTAATTCTTTTGAAGGCCGCAAAAGACATCTTGAACAATAATTTGCTGAGAATGATAAAGTTATTATGCAAGGAAGAAATTATGTAGTTACTTGAAAGATGGTGAACTAAAACACTAACTATGACATGCCTTTCCATTTAGTTGAGTATGCTTGGCTTGTTTGATATACTCTCAATTTGCGTTTTGTACACTGGCATTCTTCAGGTGTCTGTCATACTCATTAACCATCTTAGAATTTTGAAATCAGGCAGAACTGATCATGTATGGAGAGAAAATAGTGGCCATTAACACTTGTGTAAAAAAAATCAAGATAATAGAGAAAGAACAATAATGGGGGATAAGATGGTTGAAAAAATAAATAAAATATTAGCACACATGTTAGGCTCTGACAACCACCTCAGTAAACCTCATATAGAGATGGATACCATCTGGGAGCTTCTAATTGACAAAGGATACTTGTAAAATTCCATCACCTGAGTACAGCTTAAGTCTTCAAAATTACACCACTGGATTGTTCAAGAGACACATGGCCTCATAGATTAAAGCTGATAATCCAGAGTTCAATCCCTGGGTCAGGTAGTATGAAAAAGTCATATAACCTAATTCAGTGGAAGAAAGAGACAAGTGATACAAAAGTGAATCGACCAGAGATAATTGATACAATATAACTCCAAATAACATAAACAATGGAATGAGTGTTTGTAAGTTGAATAAAGGGTTTAGTTCAAAATTACAAGAAGTTTATTAAGTATGCTGAATACCTGGTGAAGGCCAGTGTACAATGACTGAAACATTGCAAGAATAGCAAGATGAGCATAGTAGTCTGAAAGGAAAAGTATATAGCCATGAATAATTCTAACAAATTAAAACAGTAACTTTATGATTCAATAGGAAAAACTTGTCATATCTTACTTAATAAACCAAATGCTTTTTATGTTAACAAATAGTTTTGATAAAAGTATATAAAAGTTCATGAAATCTACTTTTCACTGAGAGTAGGTCAGCTTACATCTAATTTGACATTTAGAAAGAACTTCTAAAGAAAAAAAAATCATTGAAGAATGAAGTGTTTTATAAGATCTAAAGTTACTTAGATTACTAAATCTATATTTATTTGTAATTTTAGTGATAGAATTTTCCCCACTTAAAAAATATAGCATTTATAAAAACAGTCGTTAAAGAGGACATCTTATGAATGAGAGACATATTTTTATTATTGGAATCATCACTGACATACATCCTTCATTCTCTTTCTGTTTTTTTTTTTATTTATTTAAAAACACTAATGCAAAAGATGAAAATAACATAAATATAAAGTTTAATTAACTTCCTTATTCAACAGAGTATGCTGTCAAGATTTTCAAGTAATTTCTGATCAAAGTACAAAATATAATAAACATTGTGTTCCTTTGCTCTTAATGTTCTAGAATGTGGAAGGAGATAATACCAATCTCATTCTGTGCTGGCAAACTTTCAATACCTCTTGTGTTTATTTTGGAAATTATAGAAAGATAATTACAAAAAAAATAAATAAATAAATAAATAAAGGGTGTGATGGCAAACAGTCACCATTTTATATTTTTAATTTTGCAGTGCAGTAGGGTCAGTTGGGCACTGTCTGTGAGAAAAAGAGCACCATGATGCAATTCACTCCACCAAAAATTTAGAAATGGCATGCTGTACTGCTTGGCATTTGTAGCAGTGACTTACCTCAGCAACCCAAAAAGGCCAGTGTCACATGTATGTTTTGTAAGGGAGTGTGGAGACAGCGAATTGGCAAGTTTCAGACAGACGGTGAATTAGGCAGCACTTCATGCTGATGGAAGTGGCAGTGTCACTTGTAGCCATTTTTATTGTCTGGTTCTGAGCACCCATTAGTCAGGTGCATAAAAGCATGGCACACTCATTCAAGAGTAGTTTTTGTTTTTGTTTCTGACAGGGGGAGGTAGTGTATTAAAGATTGAGATGTGGAGAGAAGTTTGGATTTGTTTCGCCTAGTGGACCTATTGGACTCGCACTAACTTTTTTTTTTCCTTTCTTTTCCTGTGTGTGCATCCAACCAATTTTTACACAAGCTATTTCGACATCTTGTTGAATTTGTTGTCAAAGTCTGCGTAGCCTGCCGGTCAATTGATCCAGCACTGGTGTGTTGGAAGAAGGGGACACTAGGTGTAAAATTAACTTGGAGTAGATTAGTGAAGGACATTACCCACAAGAGAGGCAGTCATTTTCTAATGCTCATTGATTGTGGTCCTTCTCAGTTCGCAATATGGCGGCTACTGCATCGACAAAACTGTTAGAGCCATTCATCAGCTGGAATCAATTTTCTACAAGCGGGGCTTGCCAGCTGAAATATTGACCAATAATGACACTACATTCACTTATAAGAACATTAAGAAATTTTTAAATAGCTGGAGGTGGAGGGTGCACTTAAGATTCTGATATATCCATGTACTGGCTGGGAATGGGATTGTCAACTGCAGTCATAGAAGTATCAAGACCATCGCAGCCAGAAGGCAATGTTTGGTGTCAGGGGTGGTTTATTGGTACAATGTCACTCCCAAGGACAGTCTTTCATCTTCTGCAACACCAGCCGACGTGCTACATAGGTACCACATCTGGGTATGAAACATCAATGCCATGCCCTCATTTGCACCACAAGACATTCAAAGAGATTACAAAGAAGGGGACATCATCTGGGTGAAGTCTCCACATGGTAGATGCACAACCAAATTCAAAATGGGCCACGTAACTCAAGTGATTAGTCAGCAATCTGTGCAGATTGATGGAACATCACGGGATGTGAAGAATTTATGCCTTTTTCTTGAAACATCTCCATCAGACTGATAGCAAAACAGAGGAGAATGAATGATTTGTGTATTTAAAATAGAGTTTACCAGGTTATTCCTCCAATACCAGCAGTTCAGAGACCAATGGAGGCCTTAGTTCTGAGAACAAGACTCGCCTTGTTCCTCTTTGACAAAGTACCTAACAGA